TAGCAAAATTGCAAGAATAACGGGGAAACACAACGATAGCTAGAAAGAACTTTATAGAAATCCCACGTGCCGAAAGTAAATGTCAATTGTTCCGAATAAAAGGAAAAAAAGTGATATTCCTCCCGCCTCTTGGAAGAGCTAAAGGGCTACTGCCTTTGCACTGATTATTCAGAAAGCATAAATTACTGAAAAATGTCCAAGCAATCGTATATGTCGAAACAGAGCATACTTTTGAATTTTGTTTAGTTACCATAGGCATACCTTCCAAATCTTTTTTGAATCATTTCTAAGACAAATTTAAAATGAATATTTTGCTGCCCATCTTCAATTGCTTGGAAAAAAAAACTGCTTCAGTTAAAAACTATGCAATGCAAATAACTCTTTTTTAATCTTCGGCTGCATGTGGCGGAGCCCACACTACTACAAAATGGATTTTTCCTGATGACCAGTTTATGTTTTCTACAGTGGCCGGCGCTGTCACCAGCAACTAAAGGACAGTGAAAACGAACACTTCATAGGCGGAACTTGCTTGTAAAAATTGATTTTTGCAAGCAACTAGGTTAAGTTGATTGCTCGGAAAAATGTTTTTCAAGCGCCAAAAAGAACTGCAAATCTGCTGCCAGGAAAAATGATTTTCGAGCCAAAAAAAAAAAATCCACAAACCCGCTGCCCGTGCCCGAGCAGCACTCCACCGCCGGATGCGCTGGCCGTGTCCCGAGCTATTGGCAGATCCACTGCCCGCTTCCCGTGACCGAGCTCCACCGCTTGTGTTGACCCCACAACCTGAGCTATCGGATCCACGGCCTGGGCCCCAAGTCACCACCAGCCTGCCACATCTAGGAGAGGGGAAGGGGGTGGAGGAGCCGCTGGAACCTTCTTGAGGCCCGTCCGTCATCGTCGTTAGATGGGGATGTAACTAGGCCAGATCAGCCTCGGATCCGTGTCCTCGACCTCGCCGCCGCCGCTGCTAAGCCCTTCTGCTGCTTCCACTACTCCCCGTCTTCCATCGCGCGCGTAATCCATCCCCTTGGCCACCACTAGCCACCGCCATCCCCTTTGCTGCTGTGGAGCCACCGATACCACCCCCGTAGAATCGAGAGAGGAGAGGTGAGGGAGGCGTCGGATCTGAGAGAGAGGGTTGGAGAGAGAGAGAAGGTGAATGATAGGGAGGGAGGAGAGAACCAGAGGGAAGTTTTTATATATTTTTTTCATATCGAATTTTTTATGGCGGCTGTCTAAGAGGACCACCTGCGAAATCTATTTTCACAAGCGGTTCTCTTAACCGACTGCATATAAAAATAGGGTTATTTTCACAAGCTGCTATGTTAGGATGACCGCTTGTAAAAATCGATTTTTACAAGCAGTTACAAACCAGGGACCCCGGTTGTATTTTCACTATTTTTTTAATTTTATCTGCCTAAGAAAAAATAGGTAACGCAAGGAAAAACAATTTTTTATTGTGACGAGCACCAGCCCCATGGTCGCTAGGCTCTTGTTCCACCTAGAGATGAAAACTGAGTGGATATGGATGGATATCGCTCATACCATATTCATTTTAGTATTTTTAGCTAGATATGAAAATGAATAAGAATAGCTCAGAATGGTAACAAATATGAATTATCTCAAATACAAATAAAGATCGAATATGATCAGCATGAATACAAAAACAAATATTTCTTTGAACATGAAAGTTGAAGTGCCATTAATTTGGTTTTGGTGATTATAGATAAATCTAATACTTTCATATATGTGGAAATTGTGAGAGGTGGTTCTCGGGCTTCATATGAATTGAGATAAAAACATTCATTGATGATGGACCTAAATCACAACAAGGATAAAATAGCATGGAAATGAAGTTATATGTAACATTTCATCTCCCCATGCACTAATTTATATGTTCATATATAATATTTTCACGTTATTGACATATGCATGTGAGACTAATGTTTTGTTTTAGCCTTATCTCTTGTTTAATCTCTTTACATTGAAAACATGGAAATGATGAAGGTATGCATTTATTTTAATGTCTATATTTGATAAATGCATTCTATTCTTTATTTTAATGTTTCGTATCTTTTTATGCATACTCTTGCTTTACAAAAATATTTTGTATACATACGTTTCGGGGGAGCAAATCCTATACCTTAGTTATGCATGTATTTCATCCAACTTATTCACTTTCATTTAATTGGGATAATTATATTTGAGTATATGATTCTTGTGGTGTTGATTAATACTCATCATCTATTCATATCATTTTATACATGTGATCGGTTAATCAACAAGTGGAGGTTGATAGCGGAATTAATAATTTATTGATTTGAATGAGAAAAATAAGTCCCAAGAATTGAAAAATGTGTTGATGCCTAAGAGAGATCATGACACCTAAAGATATCAAGGATGACAAAGTAAAGGTATCGAAGATGTGGGGTACGAAGTGGCTACTATGCAAGATGGTGAAGGGCAAACGATGCTCAACCGCGATGAATCATGCGATGGTGAAGGGTAAGCAAGGGGCTTGGCGATGAAGGAGCAAATCCGGTGGAGAAGTGCGAGTGACGGCTTTTTCGTGATGGACCATGTGAGTCCAATTTGAAGCTACAAGGAGCCCACATCAATTATTTGAAGAATATATGGTGAAACAGTTTCGACATCGGTATCCCTTAAGACAAAGAAAGGAAGATGGCATGAAGGCACTTCTATTGGTATAATTCTCCTTTGGATACACACAATACTCCTCTAGTAGTTATGCAAGGTCCAATCACTAGAACTCGCACCCGACAATTGAATTTACAGGTGAGCTCATTCCTAAGTACTTCTTTATGTGATTTTGAGGATAGATTACTACCTAACGATTTAATTATGATTATGAACTATGAAGATGTGACATCCTGGCCCAATTAGGATGAGGCATGTGTGGCCCATAAGAGCTGTGTGCGCATGTTTAGTACCACCTTGCTAATTTAGTAAGAGTGGAACCAACTTATAAGGGCTTGTCCCTCCAACCATACCACTCTCAGGTTAACTCTTTTACATGAAGCGAGGACGAAAGTGTAAGTGAAGTGGTATGTGTAAGTGGCCCTGCCCGTCGGATGGGCTAGCTACACGGCTCTGGAGGGAGGGCTATTACAAATGGTATCAGAGCTGACCCTCGCGGTTGTGCACACGGGTCAGTGTGTGGGCATATGACGCATGGCACATGTGGGCTCTGTGTGAGTAACATGTCATGGCATATGGCGCCGGTACTGGATGTACAAACATGCGATAAGAGGGGTGTGTTCATAGACATTTGCCTATATGCATGTGGCTATGTGGGTGAGTTGGACTGATGGGGACGTCAAGTCCTTTTTTTTTTGGGGGGGGGAGGGGGGTGTATGTGACATCCTGTCCCAATTAGGACGAGGCCTGTGTGTAAATATTTTAGTACCACCTTGATAGTTTAGCAAGAGTGGAACCAACCTATAAGGGCTTGTCCATCAAACCATACCACTCCCGGGTTAACCTTTTTACACGAAGCGAGGACGAAGGTGTAAATGGAGTGGTGTAAGTGAAGTGGTATATGTAAGTGGGCTTTCCCGTCGGATGGGCCACGGGGACATCGGGTCCTTTGGGGGGGTGTATGTGACATCCTGGCCCAATTAGGACGAGGCCTGTGTGTAAATATTTTAGTACCACCTTGATAGTTTAGCAAGAGTGGAACCAACTTATAAGGGCTTGTCCCTCAAACCATACCACTCTCGGGTTAACTCTTTTACACGAAGCGATGACGAAGGTGTAAGTGGAGTGGTATGTGTAAGTGGGCTTTCCCGTCGGATGGGCTAGCTATGCGGTTCTGGAGGGAGGGCTCTTACAGAAGAGGACCATGGACGCGTCCAACAGTCCAAGGTCGACCATAGAACCTATATATTCAGTAGCCATCGTTGATTTAGGGTTGGGTTTTGCTTAGATCATTTCTGCCATCATAGTTTTGCCGCTAGATGGGTTTGTGGAACCCCAACTTCAAGTTCTTAATTAATCATTCATCTGCAATTGAGTTGCTATTTTTCTTGTTCTTACTTGTATTCTCCGATTCACATGTAGGGATTAGCCTTCTTGGCAAGGGACAATTGGGTTTTGGCACGATTGATAATCAGAGGAGACGTGGTATTGCAATTGCATGTTTCGGATTGTGTGTGTCAAATTTCCGCCAAATCAATAGTTATCTTCACCTGACGGAAGATCAGGCATCCGTTGCCACTGTGTGGAGTCAATGTTTATAGGACTCCACTTATCAAGTTTGAAATTTAGATGCCTACAATATTACCCAAACGAACATGAATATACACTGAACAAGAAAGGGGCAATTGCAAATTTACCACTACTTTGAGTCATTATTACAAGACTGCCACTAGAAAATTGCAAAAATGCCACTAGAACTGTCATTCGAGTGGCATCCTTGCAAAATTGAAAAAAACGGTGGGAAATTTGCAAATGCTCAAGAAAGAAAACTTACTAAGATCAACGATTTAAACATTGGCCTTTGTCTCTTTAGCGTGTGGGAAGGAAACGCACTTCCATGGGAATGACTGTGGTGTGTGTATTTGTGTATGCACTGGCTACTTCCATTTATTCAAACAAAATACTACCTCCGTCCCATAAAAATATATTTCTAAGAAATTAAGGACAGATTAGTAGGATAGACAAATGACCACAATAACCTTATTTAATGAACACAATACATGCACATATTCTATATATAAACTTAATTAAAAGGAATGTGATGGAAGGAATGGAGATTACAAGGAAATATATTCTGATGTAATCAATTTGCTTGGTCCCAAATTAGTAGAAGAGAGAATCCATTCAGTGCAACTGAGTTTATTGTGCTTCTACAATCTACCACCGACTTTGCCAAGTTCAATAATATACCATCATGTTTTCTTTAACTTCTACTGTGTGCCATCGCCGTCCATAAGCCGTTTGTTAGCATCCGTTTGTTGTATTGGATTTTCACTTAATGACTAAAATACCCCTTGACTCCCCAAATCGCTCACTCTCTCTCCCCCAGCGAGGCGGTGCCGACTCCTCATCGATGCGCCACCGGCCGCTCGACTCTCCATCGACGCAACGCTAGCCACTCGACTCCCCATCGACGCGCCGCCGACCCCTGGACTTGGCGCCACCATCCCTGTCGTCTGCCCGCCGTGGCTCCACCGCCGCCGTCCTGGCGACGCCGCTTGTAGCGTGGCCGCAACCGGCCACTGACTGCGCCTTCGCCGTGGGCGTCCTGGCGCTTCCATCCTCTCCGCGGCAACCACCTCCACCAGCGTCACCGCGACCAGCCGCTGCATTCTATCGAACACCTTGGGCGTGTGCTACATCTTCTTCTTTGCTCCACCACCGCGACATCGCACTTTATCATTCCTCCATCTCTCGGTAATACCTCACTCCTATGACTCCTCCTATTCCACTAGGAACTAACTCCCCATCAATTTCGTCTAGTATGGCCCTAACAATGCCAACCCGAGCTCCAAAGCTCTGCTCATGGAGGTCACTGTGGACATGCCATCCCGGGGGCTCTCCTTTCTATCTTACTGGAAAAAGGAACCCCCGTACGCCATAGATGCTCACGCCCTCGTCAATTTGGCCGAAGTTCTCGCCTATCGCCCTAGCATCTTGCAACAGGACCTCAACCATGGCGTGCAGTGCCGAGCCACACGCCTTTGCTCCGTCTTGTTCTGCCGTCGCCGGTGGAGGGTCGCTGGAGCTCCTCGGCACCTCCCTCGGCCACCGCCGAGCCACCTGTGCCCCGTCTTGGCCGTATCCCGCTGTACTGTGCATCCTGCTGTTGCCTGGCTGGAGGTAGAAGAAGATAGGAGAGAGAAATAGAGATAACAGCTAGGGCCCACCTATCATTTGGGGCAAATAGGTCTTTTTACAGCGCTAACGGATGCCAACTGGACTGTGATGGCACACAATGAAGGTTAAAGAAAACACGATGGTATATTATTGAACTTGGCAAAATCGGTGGTAGATTATAGAAGTGCGATAAACTCAGTGGCACTAAGTGGATTATCTCTTGGTAGAAATACAGTTTTTATGGGATAAAGGTTCAAAGGTAGAAATTCAATATTTATGGGACGGAGGTAGTATTGAATATCACATATGACCCCCTAAATTTGTTTTTTTTCCCTAACTATGCTAAACCCCTCGAAATCAGTTGGGCATTAAACCCCTGTAAATCAAGTGTGCTTGGATTGACATTGAGTTATGGAGCTGCTTCTGACACTTGCAACCCACGCAAGGAAAACATATGTATTCCAAAGTCTAGTTAGACTTGTGACCTGAGCAATCGTTAGAAAACCTTCCAGCCCAATATTATACTAGATGGGAATAAGGGACCACATGTTCTTCTAAAGTTGGATATTTCAAAGGTTGTTGATTCCATCTTGGCCGTTTCTTGGAGGTCTTAGATCAGTTGGGTTTTGGTTATCGGTGCTGCAACCTCATATGCTGTTACTCTCTACTTTTGTCTACTCGAGTTTTAGTCAATAGAGAGAGCCATGAGAGGTTATTTATCATCATGATGGTCTCCGGCAAGGCGACCTGTTACCTCCTTTGTTGTTAATTTTGGTCATGAATGTTCTTAACTCGCTTGTGAGTCGTGCATCTCAAGAGGGATGGCTGCAGCCCCTTGCTGTGCATGCAGAAAACACAATATTGAGGTGCTCGTTTTTTATGCAGATGATACGGTTATGTTCCTATATATGGCCAATATCTAATGACCTTTCAGTTATATATCAAGCATGTGTTGGATATATTTGGTCATGTTATGGGGATTCTTAATATGAAATATATGAGTTGGCTCCTTAGGTTCGTTGATTATGGCTTAAAAAAAATCGATAGCACTTGTGTTTGGCAGGGACTGCCCATTCATGTACATGTCTCATACTCTCATGCCCTATTTAGAGTGGCTGTTGAATCACAAGCACATTTTGTTGCTTGTACAAGAATTTGTTAGATATAGTTTAATTTTCAACCAAATATAAGGTTGATCTACCTAGATTTGATAGTTCTTATTAAACTCCGATCAGTTTTGTAATCAAATAAAAGATATATATAGAGAGAATTGAACTAATCTTTAGAATACAAAATTGGATACAAAGTCATGCATATATCCAGTTTGCCATGGCCTCAAAAGATTTTGGGATGAAAAAATCGCTCTAACTATTCCCCTAGTTCAAATATAATAGACTCCTTAGGCAGGAGAAGACACGGCCTCTCCTAATAATTGAGATTGGGCTATCACTGTCGGCTCACTTCTCGAAGCCAATATGACTTTACCTGGCACTAGCAGCTCACTTCTCGAACCGGTAGTGATACTTTATTGTCTTGACTATCCATACTATTTGTCTGTGGCTTGAACAAATAATGATATAATATGGTTGGTTTACTGCCTGTTGCCCTGTTCCTTTCTTAATTAAAGAAACAGGGAAACAGTGACATAGTACTGTCACTAGGGGTGGATGTCGAGCTGGCTCGGCTCGGCTCGGTCTGGCTCGCTAGGATAACGAGCTAAACCTAGCTCGGCTCGGCTCGTCAACAAGCTCGAGCCAGCTCGTTAAGCTCGCGAGCTAGGGGCAAGAGACGCTGGGAGGAGGGGAGGAGCTTGACGGCGGACGAAACGAGCTCGAGCTCGCCGGCGACCACAGACACAGGGAGGAGCTCGACGGTGGAGGGGATGAACTCGATGCAGCTCTGCCGGCACTTGGAGGAGACGAGCTCGAGCTCGCCGGCATCGACGGTGGAGGGGATGAACTCGATGCAGCTCTGCCGGCACTTGGAGGAGATGAGCTCGAGCTCGCCGGCAGCGTCGGGCGCTAGGGCGGGCACCGGCGGCAGCGGGCGCTGGATCGCTGGGGGAGAGGCGGAGATCGGCGGCGGTGGGCCGTTGGCGCTCGATCTCCCGGCGGCGGCTGGCGTGGGGGATAGGCGGAGACCAGCGGCGGCGGGCGCTCGATCTCCCGTCGGCGGCGGGCGCTGGCGGGGGAGAGGAGGAGACCGGTGGCGGCGGGCGCTGGTGGGGGAGAGGCTGAGACTGGCGGCGACGGGTGCTCGATCTCCCGGCGGCGGCGGCGGCTGGGGGAGAGGCGGAGCAGCGACGGCGGCGGCTTGGGGAGAGGCTGAGCGGCGACGGGCTGGAGGAGAGGCGAAGCGGCGGCGGCGGCTGGGGGAGAGTGGGGAATTGAGTGAGGACTAGCTAGGGTTTGCAGTGTCTTGGGCTTGGGCTTTTTTGTTGTATTGGGCTTTTGGGCTGTGATGGAGTCTAGCTCGTTAAGGCTCGCGAGCAGCTCGCGAGCCAGCTCGAGCTGGCTCGTTATCTCTAACGAGCTAAAATGCCAGCTCGGCTCGTTAGAAAATTCAAACGAGCCGAGCTGAGCCGAGCCGAGCCTGTTACGAGCCGAGCGAGCTAACGAGCCACGAGCTTTCTGTCCACCCCTAACCGTCACTCACCAAACCAATAATTTTTTGGGCTGGTACGTAGTTGAAGGTTTATCTGTAGCATTGCGTGATTAATTGGTCGGTGATGTTATTCCGTATGTTGTGCACAGTTGGCAACCAATTGGTCTTTCCATGGACCCGTTTTTCAGTCTGATTCCTGTACGAATTTGTCGATTGCATGTTATATACTACCTCTCCATCCCAAAATAAATACAGTTTACAATATTTATATCTAACGTTTAACCGTTCGTCTTATTTAAAAAATTTTCATGATTAGTAATTTTATTATTATTTGATGATAAAACATGAATAATACTTTATGCATGACTATTTTTTTCACAAATTTTTAAAATAAAACGGATGGTCAAACGTTAGATACGGATATCCATAGCTGCACTTATTTAAGGACGGAGGTAGTATGTGTAAGGTAGCTGTGGTAAGTTCTAGTGCACTAGTGGCAGTACATGTAGCTGCCGCTACAGACAATTCATCACATCAATACCAACCGGCACACCAGCTACTAGTCGAGCACTCTCTCCATCCTATAAAAACCAATCTAGTATTGGATCTGAAATATCCTAGTATAATAAATCTACAATATACCTTTGTTAAAATGAGTTGTACTAAAATATGTCACAACATTCGTTCTAGATTCGTTTTTTCGACGGAGCAAGTATATCGAGATAGACATGCCACTAACCGCTTGATGCGTGCACGTCAGATCATATGCCTGCCCTCTACTAGTAAGTTTAGATTTATTTTGGCTTTAATTTTGAAGTCAGCTTTTTTTATTTATAAGCAAGTTGATTTGAAGTACTATAAGTTTAATGATGGAGGTGTAATAGTTTTGCTTAAAAATTTAAGTGGTTTATGGCTTAAAAAATCAAACGAAAAAGTTGGTTCTGACTTTTCGGCTCATAAGCTGACTTATAAGCCTGGAAAAATGTCTCAATTTATATGCATAGATATAATAATGATGCACTTCAAACAAAGGAGTAATAACATAATATGATGATCAATGTAAAAGTTTTATTATTCGGTTATACGATACTCCCTCCGTTTCACAATGTAAATCATTGTAGCATTTTCTATATTCATATTGATATTATCTATTTAGATTCATTAACATCAATATAAATATGAAAGATGACATTGTGAAACGGAGAAAGCAATTAATATGGATTGGAGGGATCGGAGGGAGTAGGTGCATGCCATCATGTGGCTGTCCTGGTGCCAACCACCAATTTGATCTATATCTCGTGGTTTGTGGGTTCTTTTCACTTGTTCAGTGTTCAGAAGCATAAGCAGTACGTGATCAGAAGCAAAGCTAGCGTGCGTTTGCAATGGCGGCAGTGGTGACCAACAGGAGGGTGATCCTGAAGAGGTACGTGACAGGGCTCCCATCGGAGGACGACATGGAGGTGGTGACGGCGAAGACGACGCTGGCCGTGCCGGCTGGGTCGGAGGCGGTGATGGTGAAGAACCTGTACGTCTCGTGTGACCCTTACATGCGTGGCCGGATGACCCGTCACGAGGTGCCCAGCTACGTTCCCGACTACGTACCAGGAGAGGTATATATAATCGCGTAATTATTTAGTTTCACCTCATATTTGATTCCCCTACTAAGTGTATATATCAATCTACTTTCATTTTTACTTGTAATATTTATAGTTATATATAAACTATCCTTTCAATGCTATCCGTTCTACTGAATAGATCTTTTTCTCTTGAATCATTGGCGATGCAGTACCTCTGCCATTCAAAAGGTGACTTGTACAGTGTGCACGAATTTTGACGGGATCCTAGCCGGTCAAAATGTGACCGACAGATTACAAATTTCTGGCAATTAATCCTTTTACTAAATCATATCTACTACTATTTTCCTAGAGTCTATTAGTCAACAAAATTCTGAATGTTTCCATATTCAGAACTGTCTGCTGTCCTATTTAATTGTGATTTAGAAGAAGAATTCAGTTTCCCCCCCTTTCTGTAAATTAATCCCGACATTTGAACCGCACACATGATTTATCCATGTCCTCTGACTGCTGGGAGCAAAATTCACTATACAAAATACCAATGATATCACTCGTATGGATTCTAAACAACTAATGCCTCTCTGTATTCATTCATTATGTATTTGTTTTGACTGCAAATCTTACAATATTTCTGTACTCACATACCTGCAGGTTATCACTAATTGTGGCGTGATGAAGGTGGTATCATCTGGGCACCCGGATTTCAAGGATGGAGACCTTGTTTGGGGAGTAACCGGATGGGAAGAATACACCCTGGTTAACAATCCCAAGCCTTATTTGCATAAGATCAATTACCCTGAATTTCCTCTATCTTACTACACCGGTGTTCTAGGTAAGTTCACTGTTCACTATCACCCTAGCTATCAGTGACTCTCTTGCTGAAGCAAATTGAGGAATGTCATTGCCAGTCTCTCTACTGTATTTAATCCTTGATAATTCAGGAATAGCTGGGCTTACTGCCTATGGTGGGTTCTTTGAGGTCTCCAAGCCTAAGAAAGGCGACTATGTTTTCGTCTCCGCGGCATCCGGTGCCGTAGGTCAGATTGTTGGGCAACTGGCTAAGATCACAGGCTGCTATGTGGTTGGCAGTGCTGGTTCTGATGAGAAGGTTTTCACTACAATATCATTTTCTCTATGTATCGAGCTGACAAAACTTAATAAAACTAGTTCCCCTCTCATAGGTCAATTGATAGAGCTAGATTTGCTGAAAATCTATCTGCTGCATCTCTAGGTCAAGCTGCTCAAAACTAAGTTTGGCTTTCATGACGCGTTCAACTACAAGAAGGAGCTGGACCTGGAGGGAGCCCTTAAAAGGTTTGCTCTCCTTCTGATGGTGAAATGAAATTTGATCGTGTGTTGATTCCAAATGGCACAATTGCTGATCCATGGTGTTTTGTCATTTTGATGGTCTCTCCATCTCTCAGGTGCTTCCCGGACGGCATCGACATCTACTTTGATAACGTGGGTGGTGCAATGTTGGACGCCGTGCTGCCGAACATGCGTATCGGCGGCAAGATAACGATATGTGGGATGATCTCGCAATATAACCTGGAGCGGCCAGACGGGGTGCGGAACCTCTTCTACTTATTCGCCAAGAGCCTACGGATGGAGGGGTTCCTGGTGAGCAACTACATTGCAATATACCACCGGTATGAGAAGGAGATGGCAGGATACCTGAGGGAAGGAAAGGTGGTGTATGTGGAGGACATCGTTGAGGGGCTCGAGGCGGCACCGGCAGCTCTCATTGGGCTATTCACTGGCCGCAATGTCGGCAAGCAGCTGGTCACCATTGCACGGGAGTGATGTCGTTGGTTGCATTGGTATGTACTACCTCTGTCCCGAAATATTACAATTTTTAGCTACGAATCTGGACATATAGGTGACCAGATTCATAGCTAAAAATTGCTATATTTTGGGACGGAGGTAGTACGTACTAACCATACTTATTTATGAAATCTGAAATGGATGTCTTGTTTGTTTTGTCGGGTTCAGAAATATGAGATAAAATATTGTGCCGGGCTAGCGAATTCTAGAATTGATCGATTGACCCTCCCATTGGAGCATTACTTTGATCAAAGATGCTTTAAGAGGATCAGACGTCATTGGATCATAATTAAGAGGGTAATGATCCATGTCTTCGCGGCTCTTCGCGCTTGTTTGCCAAGCCACAGTGTGTCAGTTCATCATAATATTGCAGCCATATATAAGTCATATCAATTCGCATCTCTAAACCGGAGTTATAGAGCTTAAATCCACCATCCTAGCCTGTGACATACCTTTTGTTTTTCTTATGTCAAGAAATGCTCTGAGTTTCAAAAATATGAACCGTTGGTACAATATGAGGACTATTATAGTGATAACAAGTCTTGAAGATAACCTAACTACGACAAAACCTACACACTTCAATCAGTTTGTCCACAACAAAATGCATTTTTGGTTCAAGTTTGGATGAAAGTTCAAATTCTATCCCATTCCACTACAGAGTTTGTCTTATTCCAGGAGGTGTAATATTTGCGGTTTTGTATTTATTTATGGATGTCCCAAAACATGGGTTTTGTTCCTTAGTAGCCAATTGATTGATTGCGAGGTTGTTTTGCTTGAACATAAGTATGACACTCAGAATCTTCGACCACAGTAAATTTCAGGTTTAAATTTATGTTAGCTAGGCGCATCACAATAACTAAGCCAACCAAGGGGGGGAGGTGAATTGTTGGTACATCCAAAAACCCAAACTTTTAGCGGAATAAAAAGTTACCCTCGAATCGATGTAGATCGGTCTGACCGGAGTAGTCCCATCGGTCTGACCGCGCCTGTGCCGCCAGTCTCACCGATGTAGATTGCCCGGTCCGACCGCTCTGAAGTCACCTTAGCCTCCTGATGCCGACGTCAGTCTGACCGCAGGTACGCCGCCAGTCTGACCACCGCGATGCCACCGGTCTAACCGTCGGTGTGTCGCCGGATAGACCGCCGAACCCGATGAAACACAAATCGAAGAACCCTCAAAGTAGATGACAACTTTATTGCTTCTCTCTGTGTTTACAAAGTGCAATAACATCACTCCTTCCAAAAATCTCGACTAAACTCGAAACCCTAACTAAACTAACAACTCAATTGCTCTCAAAAGCGATACCGGGAAGCCTCACGCTCCCTCTCTATTTATACATGAGGTAGGCAGCCTAAAGCCACGAACCAAACTCATACTAGAAGTCCTAATCCCCATAGGAAACCTTCTCGTACAAGAAACAAACTTTACATAACCAATCATACCAAATTTGGACTCCTTCCAAATTCGACTCCGCATCCCATATGTACACAATACCTCCATCGTATGCCTTATGGAATCTTCACCAACCACGTGCACTGACTCTAGCGTAAGTATCCCGCATGATATCTGACCGTCACGGACATCGCCTTACCACCAAGTCGACTCCCGATCCATCACTGCAAATACTCTCCCGAGGCATCAAGTCACCTACACATGAAATAAACAAAGAAACCATATTCCGATACCAAGCTATCCACAACTTGACTCATTGTTAGCAAACAACAGTATTACATACGCATAGTATCTATCTAGAAGCCATAAATATGAAACAATCACGGATATCCAAATAAACAACCCGAAACCGAAACCGACACAGCGTCGGCCGGTCAGACCGCGGGCTGCGCCGGTCTAACCGCGCAATAAAAGCCGGTCTGACCGGCAGCACCTGCCCGGTCTGACCGGACCACATATCCAGCAGTACCTGTATATCACCTGTAAAATCCAATCATCTCCAAAACCACTTCGAAAATAAATTCCAAATATCAAAACCAATAATCTCGAATGCCAATTGTTCATCACAGAATAATAATCAAAATCATTTTTGATTTTACAATCTCCCCCTTGATGAACACATTGGCAAACCCATAAAAAATGTTTTGTTGTTTGGAAAAATAAAAACAAAAGTGGTAAAAAAGACACTTCGTACAAATGTACACATCGTGCTCAAAAATCTAAAAGAAAACTTCTCCCACTTTTGAAAAGAAAGAAATTCTCACTTGAACCAAAAACATGCTCTTCTCAAAAACTCAATTTCACCTTTTGTTTCAAAAACTCATCGCTTCTCCCCCTTTTGACAATGATTTCATCAAGTATAGGAATTATGTTCATTAATGTGTAAGAGCTTAGCATACATATAGCATATCATGTCATGTGTTGCAATAAAAAGAAGATGAACCCATCTATAATATAGCAAGCATGCATTAAAGTATAATCATGAACCAAAGATTTTACAATTAAGTTTGAATCAACAATCAAAATTCATGATTTCATACGATTTATAATGCAACATCTTAACAAGCACATAGGTTGAAAAATAAACACTATACATATATACCTATTGCATCCATCACTCTTTCTCAAATTAGCTTTAGCACAAAACATCCAAGAGAATTTTTAACTTTTTCTTTTCTTGAGCCTTTATGCTCATATTTTTTTCTCAATTATTCCGGATACGTCCTTATTGTTAGGATTGTTTTCAAGGATTCGGCACTCATTATTTTTGCTCACATCGAAACATCCTTATCATCAAGACTGTTTCTAAGTATTCGGTATTCATTTTTTTTTCATATTATTTTATTCTATTTGCACAATGAGCAATTATAAGCTATTTGAGGAATAACAAATCAATAAAGCATTTATAAATCAAACCATATGCTAGCATCAATATTGCATATTTTTTTAATTCAAGTATAGAATTTAAGTGTCATGCATCATCTCCCTTAAAAGTAAAATCTAAGCCTCATAAAAAGACTAGAATACATACAAGCTATGCTAGAGACAAATAAACCTTCATAGTATTGCTAGCATGCATAAGAAAATACCATATGTATAAACAAAGCTCTCTGTTCTCAATTTTTCTTATTGTCAAATTTTTGCTTAATAAAACCATGAGGTGCAAAACTCTCCCTCAAATCATGCCAAAAGGATGAATTATTCCCAATTCACCATGAAGAAAAGCAAAGCGATTATAATCCAAAGGTTTAGTGAAAATATCAGCAAGTTGCAACTTTGTGTCCAAAAAGTCAATTCCACATCTCCCTTCTCAACATGATCCCTCAAAAAGTGAAAGCGAATATCAATGTGCTTTGTGCGTGAGTGTTGAACAGTATTCTTAGCAATGTTAATAGCACTAGTATTATCACAAAAGAGAGGAAATTTCTCAAAAGTAAGACCATAATCTTTCAAAGTTGAAATAAGCCAAAGAATCTGTGAACAACAACTAGCAGCAACAGCATATTCAGCAGTTGATTGAGCAACACTAGATTGTTTCCTAGAAGACCATGCAATCAATGATGTACTAAGAAAATGATATGTTCCACTAGTACTTTTCCTATCAATTCTACAACCAGCAAAATCAGCATCGGAATATCCACTGAAGCATATAGAAGATGAAGTAGAATACCTAATTCCAAACTCAAGTATATGATTCAAATACCTCATTATTCGCTTGACCGCTTGACGATGTGAAGTGCGAGGAGAAGCTTGAAAGCGTGCACATAAACACACAGCAAATTGTATGTCTGGCCTAGAAGCGGTTAGATACAACAAAGATCCAATTATACTTCTATAGTCCTTTTGATCAACAGCTTCACCATCTTCATCAGGATCCAACACAGCTGTAGAACCAATTGGTGTTGATATTAGCTTACAATTCTCCATCTTGAACCGTCTCAAAAGATCCTTCGCGTACTTCATTTGATGCACAAATGTACCTTGAGGTGTTTGCTTAATTTACAATCCCAAAAAGTACAATAACTCACCCATCATGCTCATCTCAAATTTCCTGCGTATAGTCTCAGCAAACTCCACAACCAAAGCATGAGTTGAACAACCAAAGATGATATCATCCATGTAAATCTGAACGAAAAGTTGAATATCACTATGCTTAAGAACAAAAAGTGTTTTGTCAACCTTTCCCATTGTAAAACCTTTCGCAAGTAAAAATTTTTTAAGCCTACCATACCATGCTCTAGGTACTTGTTTCAAGCCATACAAAGCTTTAGACAATTTAAAAACATGGTTGGAAAAATCAGAATTTTCAAAACATGGTGGTTATTTAACATAAACTTTCTCCTGTATAAAACTATTTAGAAAAGCACTTTTCATATCCATTTGATACAATTTAAAACCTTTTGAAGCAGCAAAAGCCAACAAAAATCTAATTGCCTCAATTCTAGCAACAGGAGCAAAAGTTTCATGAAAATCCAAACCCTCTACCTGGGTAAAACCTTGAGCAACAAGTCTAGCTTTATTTCTCACAATCAAACCATCCTCATTTTGTTTATTTTTGAAAACCCACTTGGTTCCAATAATATTATGTCCAGAAGGTGGTTCAACTAAAGTCCAAACTTTGTTTCTCTCAAAATTTTTAAGTTCTTCATGCATGGCATTAATCCACGATTCATCAGGTAATGCATGAGTAACATCTTTGGGTTCAAAAGTAGCAACAAAAGCAGAATTTGCACAAACATCATGAGTCGTTAACTTAGACCTAGTAGTCCGCTCGCCTAAATTTCCAATGATTTGTTACGGAGGATGTCGTCATTGAATATGCAAAGGAGCAGCAACCTTTGAAGTTGTTTCGCGTTCTGTACCAGTACTGGTCGAAGTTGTAGTCTCTGGAGGACCATCTCAATCAGCGTCAACAGAACCGGAAACCGATGAACCTGGCCGGTCTGACCGCACATCCTGCGCCGGTCGGACCGGAGGTGTGCCGGCGGTCTGACTAGCCTGGCGCCCGGTCTGACCGGCCGAGCCGACCTCGTCGTCGTCGTCGTTGCTCTTGTCTTCAAAAATACGACCATCCTCCCCCTGAACTGTGACAAAGTACCTCCAATATCGGGTCTAGTTCCTGGACTAGCCTCATCAAAAGAAACTTCGCAAGTCTCAACAATTTTATTAGTTTTCAAAACAAGTACACGATAGCCACGTGAATGTGCGGGGTAACCAAGAAACATTCCATCGGTAGAACGTGCTTCAAACTTGTCTAAATTTCCAGATTTCAAGACAAAGCATTTGCAACCAAAAACACGCAAATGTGAAACTTTGGGTTGACGTCCAAATCGAAGCTCATAAGAAGTTTTTCCAAGTTTTGACCT